GACTGGGATTTCAGCACCAGGACTAGAGTTGTCACTTTCGCTGGGATTGTTTAACCTAGCGATTACCTCCTGTTCAGTAGGTTCATTGATGACTACAGGAGGAGGCCTCGCAGCTGTAGTCTTAATCCTGATTTTTGGACGGGGTTCGACGGCAGGAGCTGGTTTTTTCAATCTTCGTCTCTGCAAAGGAACAGGAGGGGACTCCTCTTCTTCATCGCTAGAGATTTGGATCTCTTGAACCTTCCGTTTTTTGGGGGTAGGTTTCTGAATACCCAGGAAATCAAGTCGAGGGGATCAGTACCTATGTCAGATAAAAACTAAGGGTATGAAGGAAAAGTAAATACCTTGGGAGAGGGGTTGACAGCAGAATCTCCCCCTTTTGTACTCTCAGCGGTTCTCTTCGAGGTGGCTCTCTTGACAGCAAAACAGAAGACAAGACAGCTATAGTTAATTAAGTGTCGAAAGACAAATCTAAGACGAAGAGATGGGGGAGAATAATACCTTTCTTGACTCTGTCGAGAACCAGCTTAAACGCCTCACGTAGATGGTGGGCGAAGTCCTTCTCATCGAAGAACTCTTCGTCATAATACTGTTTCCACCATTCCTCAAAAGTAACGGAACTCAGAAAATGAAGGTTAAAGTCGAACAAGGTCAGTATAGTTCGACCAGAATACCTACCAATGTGCTTGGTAGCGGCATCTTCTGAGTAGTCTGCATTATAAAAAAGCGGCAGCTTCTCTCGAGGATAAATAGGTGAGGGAAGTGATTGAGCAATACCAAATTGTCGAGAGACAAGATTTGGTTGATAAGCAATTAAGCTCAGTTGATTTTTTGAGCTCTTGAATCTCAAGGGCATGATCCTGGGGAGCATAAACGATTCCCACATGCTCACGAACTCATCAGTCACGTCATCCTCCTCATTCGAAGGGTATGGTCTGGTGAACCATTCCGGACCAACTTTTCGACTGGCAAAGGGAGCCATAGTCGAAACAAAGCTCTTTCGCTCCGCAAACATCATCACGAAGCTTGTGAAAGCCTTCTGAAATTGTTGGCCTTCATTAGTGGGAGTTAGCAATGCAAGCCTGGTGCCTTCGACTCTCCTGTTTAATATTTCAGAAGCCTCTTCGTTAATCTTGTTCTTTTGGGGAAGGAAAGATTCAAAGGTGGCATTGAGCCACAGCTGGAGAAGCCAAAAGGGACCAGATAGCAGCAAGCTCCCCCTGTCTCTTATAACCTTAAGTTGAGTCACACCATTACTGATGGACTCATATAAGTTGGCCAGAATCAATTCGGCCAGGCAAAGGGGGTATTTGTGGTGAAGTTGCGTTGCGAGCGTCAGCATATTTTTCGTCACCTGCAGTGATTTAGTACAAAAAACAAAACGAGACAGCCACATAGCCAAGAAGGCTATATGCTCCACCTCCGACACGGTACTAGAGGTTTTGTCATGAAAATGGTTTATAAAGGTCGTGTAAGTGGGTTTTGTAGCAGCAAACCCAATAGTATCCTCAGACAAGTCTTCAGGGTCGAAATAGTCACCAGTGGGTCGAAGACCAGTGATGGCAGCTATGTCGAATAAAGTGGGGGTCATCATCCCACAAGGAAGATGAAAAGTGAAATGTGCGTTATCCCAAAAGTACAATGAAGATACCAACATGAGGGGACAGTAAGGCAATCCTGTCTTCGACAGCATCACCAAGTCATAAATGCCCATCTCCTTCCAGACAGAAGCTTGCGCCCTCTCCATTTTGTTCAACCAGTCTGAGTATTCAGAAGAAAGGTTAGGGCTTGATCGAAAGATTCGGTTCCCTTTGTTCATGAACTGGAGGTTGATATCCTTTATAGTCTGAGGATGCTGCTGGTTAGCCGGAGTAACGTCTTCAGGGTCCTCCCTAGGTTTCTTCACGCAACCTATGGGTCTAAGCCTTGGGTGAGTAGGAAAGAAGGTGCGGTTTTTCAAGGGGTTTTCGACGCATGAAGATAACGGACCAGATATAGCATACATGTTTCCACCGTATCTCATGGGAATGAGGAGCTGAGAATCATATTCTTCTCGCCATTCTTTCGTCATAGGTTCGGCAATGTACCTATTGGTCGAGGAAGAAGGAGGGTTGGTGGAAAAGATCTCTGGTGATTTCTGGACATCATTAGCGTTTTTGGGTTGAGGATTGTTTGGTGCATTTGAGAGGAACGCCATTGTTAAGGGTTTGAGAGAAGACGAAGTTAACAGTACAATGTTGTGAGAAAGCAAGAAATTTGGGAATGCTGGAAATGGTAAGAGTTCCAAATAAGAAGGCTCAGCAGTATTTATAGCCTTCAGAAGAGGGATATGTCTCGTCAAGACCATTTAATGTTTCACAGGTAGTGGGACACGTGGCAAAGCGTGAAACGGTTACCGTGCAGGCATTGGGAAACATTGGGACATGCTTGCCTAGGTTATAGGAATATGGTCATCATGGCAAGCGTGGTAACGGCAGTTTGAAGAGACATCTTGGAGAAAAAGTAATGATGGTTTTATCAAGTGTAGCAGCTGTTGGAAGGCGAAAAGCACACGTCAAGACTTGGTGGACAACTGGGAAGACAGGTGTCGAATGGGAAGTTCAAAGAATGGCTATTTCTTTGAGCATCGAAATAGACATTCTTGGGGGGCAATTTGTTGGCTCCCAAATTCGACACTTACTGTGTTTGGTCTTTTGGACCAAACAACTGGAATGAACCAAACCAGGAAGTATGATTCGACACATGAAATAACTTAAGAAAAAAGATCTAAGTTATGATAGTAATCTTCGACCAAGGGCTCATTCGACTGAAGAAGACTTATGTTGCTCGACTGAGAGAAAGTGTTCACGCTTTGGCACATGGAACGAGGACTATTTGAATTTTGAATTATTGGAGGGAAAGGCAGTTTTCATCAGCGTCTGAGAAGAGGAAATGTGGCCAAAAACTATGGGTCGAGAGACATGCAGAAAACACTTGTCTTCATCATAGCGCAGAATGTTCCCTCGACGGTTACCTATTTTTAGTATAAATTAAGAAGCTTGTGTAATTTTCAAGTGTGTTCTACCTATTGTACTAAATCACTCAAATATTATCCAAGTAACTACTGCGTGAGAAAGGATAAAGCTGAGCAATGTACGTTGGAAACACTTTTTTCCTTAATGAAAGTCTTTTTACATTACTTTACCATTATCCTGCAAAGTTATCTTTTTTACTTCTTTTACTTGCATTTCTATACTTTTGCTTACTTTTCAACAATCTCAAATATTCTTTCTCTGGGTCGAACGTGCGTTCTTCCTTCTTACCCATTTTACATAAAAATTAGCATATGTCCTGGGATTAATTTGATCGATCCCGTAAATAAACCAAAAAAACTTACCTTTTTGAAGATCAGCAGTTGTTTACCAAAAACAACGGTAAACATAGAGCACCTACAAAGGCAGAAGAGCATCCCCATAAAATTTAGATACTAAAAAAAATTATGGAAGGAGCTTTTTTACACCTTCAACATCACTTCAAATATCCATTAAATATTGAAAAATATGGGTAAATATTGAAGAATACGGTAGAAGAACAATTACAATAATATGTATATACTGCAATTTGTTATATGGGATTAAAAGGTAACTAAATATTTTTTTAATCATCAAAATATACCAAAAAATACTCTATTCTAACACAAGATGGGTAGGAATAGAGCATTAGAAAAATTGAGAATTAATCACATCACTACTATAGTTTGACTTGACACTCTCACATGAGTTATACCTTTATATTTTTATTAAATATTTTTGAATTTGTAAAAATACCATAAAATATCAAATTTATGACGGATCTTTTTAGTTTATATGAAAAAAAATAGCGAATACTACAAAAAATATTGATTTTTTTGAAATTTTTTACAGAAATATCAGAAATTTCCAATTAAAAACGTATTAATTTCTAATAAATATTTGAAATACCCGATTTTTTAAAATGTTTTGTAAGTTTTCGCAATTTGAAATATTCCAATAGTTCACCATAGACAAAAAAAAATTTACACTACCAGATTTTTCCATTAACTCCAAAATATTTTGAAATTTTCGATAGTATTAAATTTTTTTTTTCCTATTAAATATAAACTACTGGTTTATTCAAAAATCCAAAAAATTACCGAAGATATCAGATCTTTTTTAAAACCAATAAAAATGCATACCAAAATTTTTAATTACATTCCATTTTTTTTCAAATTATACTGGATTTTTTTACTTATTCTACCGGATTTCTGACAAAATATCGACAAGAGAAATATGGGTATTATGAAAATATGTGAGACTTCCAGGTTAAACTGTGAGGTGGCAGAATAAATTCCCAATAGAAATTGAATAGAAAATATAACAGATACAAAATATGCATGCAACACACCTACAAAAACCATAAGAAAACATAAGCAGAAGTGAAGGACACTGATACAACACAACCCAAACAAAGCACGGCTCCAACACTACCTAAACTAACCTGCTATATAAAAAGGCCACTATCACAGACTTTGCTACCAAACCAATACAAATCAATAAGGCCACTCACTACAACTCTCACGAGGAACTACCTATGATATACCCAACCCTCCAAGCATAAAGCACAACCAGCTATATTGTTTGCACATATCTATCTAGAAAAATAACAAACCAGGGGTTTAGACTTTAGACCCCCATAAGAACATAAGCTAAAATTAAATAACTAAACTGAGTTGGGCACAAGTCATAAAACATCACATTAGTACCCTGAGAACAATCAAACCAAGGTTAGCAAACACATTTGCACAGTAAGAATGATTTACTACAACCTCCAAATCCATCTCATACAAAAAAATAAATCTTCAAAATTGAAGATTTTGTCACGGTACAACTAGCACCTGTAGTGTGAAAATGTAACGACGCGGAACAGATATGTTGTGTAAAATAATTGACAATAATATCCATTTTCAACCGTCGTTTAACTTTACTAATTACATTAACCTAATCTTAAAAGATGGACACATCTGGAGGTGGTCCATATACAGACATCCAAGAAAGTGGAACTCGCCATTTGATACCTTCAATTCCTGAAAAATGCAATTATCAGAAATATATTACCAATAAGCTTTTATATTACCGAAGCGCAAACATATCAGTTCACTAGTTATTAATATTTACAATTAAATCTGTAACTTTTGCTTGTTTAACTTAAAAACAATCAATCGATAAAATGAATATAAAGAGAAAGAGAAACAAAGATTTATAAAACTCACCAGAATTAGGGTGACTTGGCTTTAGAAGTTTGCATGCTGCATCAGCTAATTGAAAAGCATCAGATGTGTTGTCTCCTTCTGAGCAATAACATAACAAGCACGTGACCTTCAAACCTTTAGCCTGATACAAGGTACAGAGCCTTGTATTATTAACATGTGATGTAAATAAAACCACTTCAATTTGTAAGTTATAAAACGCAAACTAGCTTATGACAACGGAAGCCAATTAATTATCAAATGTATCACGTGATGAAAAAAAATTTCATTCCCTGTTCCCCAGTTCAAATTATTACATGAATAAGAAGAAACACAATATAATCAAAGTTAACAGCACATGCATTACCTTGAGAAAAGAAAAAAGTGCAGCAAAAGGCAAACTAGCATAATAATCTTCTTCTAGTTCATCTTCTATAGAAATAGTGTCTTCCGTAGTTGCATTTCCGTCAGCTAAATCACTAAGATATTTCCAATGTTTTTGGGAAGGGTCATACTCCTGAAGTTTCTTCCATCCAAGCTGTTCACAGTTTTCGTCCGTTCCGTTGCCGTTGGCGCTGGATAGGTAGTAAATCTGCAAACCACTAATATGGCAGCCCATGGACATATCAGAATGGAAAGTATTCAAAAGTAAATGGATACTTACATTTAAAAAGATGGTCAAAATGAGGTTAATTTTGATACAATGTCGGTGTAAACAGTTTTACACTGTCAGTATATCACAATCAATCATATATATGACTAGAAAAATAGTTAGATTAAATTTTTAGTAATCTCACAATCTTTTACGGTGTATGTGAATTAAATCCATTCAAAATATCACTCTCACCTTGACATGTCAACCTTTTGCCACTTCCCAAAATCTAAGCTGGAGAGAATAATAATATGCTTCTTTCCACTTCCGGCAATAAAATCAGCCATGTTTTTTGCAAACTTGAGCATCGTTCCCTATCAAATGTCATGTATTAATTTTAATTTCTCATTCCAAATTCCAAATTTAATTGTGTCAATTCAAGCATTAAAACTAATAGAAACAAAGATATATTCCTAAAACAACACTTAAAACAGGAATTTATGAAGTATTTGATAATAAGCTATAATAATCTATTGATTACTTCCAAAGGAGATATTGATGTGCATCAAAACAGAGAGCACAAAATTAGGAGACAAGAAGTAGAAAAATTCAAGATCACACTAAACTGCTCAATGCCACGTACACAAGAATGCTACTACATTTAGTACCTATTTGTTGGATAGACTTATTTACTGGCATAAACACTAGTGAGTCTATTTGAGAGAGCTTAAAGAAACAGCTTATACCATGTCATGAGCATTTTTCACTCATTTCCACAAGCTCTCTATGATAGGTTAGGTTACAAAAACAACTTATAGCTTTCTGAAAACAACTTACATTTGTTTTATCTTTTTTTATAGAAATAGTTAATACATAAGCATTTAAAAGATTAACACTTATGCTATAAGCGCTAAGCACTCAATTTATTGTCCAAACAGCCCTTAAGTTTTACTACCATCAACTTATTTTGGGTAAGAAACACTCCAGACATCACAAATAGGACCTCAGTGGATACCTTAATTACAGGAGATCTCTGCTGTATAATAGTGAGACCATTAGCAGGAGAATCGTAAGCTGCAAATAAGCAATTAAAAAAAAAGAAGCTTAAAATCATTTCAAAACTCAAACAAACCATTACAAAAAAAAAATCAAAAAAGAAACCAAACCAAACAACACCTTCAAGAGGAAGTGCAAGATCTCCTTGAGGAACAGGTCCATAAGCATCATTGCCAACACATGGAAGAACGTAAGGATCGTCTAAGTAACCAACTTTCTCAGAACCCAATGATGAAACCAAAAGGTCCGCTGTTAGCTGACCAACATTGCCAATAGATACAGCAGGCTGGAAAAAAAAACACAGGAATTTTAACAAACCCTAGAATTGGAAAAATAAAAGGGGCAAAACGTAAACCCTAGAAAATTTTACAAACCAAAATCAAAGTTGAGCATTCTTCGTGAAAGTGCTTGCGTTCTTCGGAAACGAACTTCATATGTAGGGGTTGAAATTTTCTACTTTGTTGATTCAACTTTTTTGAGCTTCTGCGTTTCGCTTTCTTCTCTTTTCTTGAGGAAGTGGAAATAGAAAATCGCAATCTTATGCGGTTTGCGTTTTTGGATATAAACAAAAGTGGGTACCTGATATCATACCGGTTTTAAGAAACAGTAATCGAATTTATTTCTCAATTTTTTAAATGGGTTGGGTCAAGTTTTAAAAATAATAGTTTGGATTTTTTTAATCGGTTCACTGAATTTTAAGCTATGGTTCTCATGAACCGGTTTTAAATGCACACCCCTTGGTTGCGTAATGGACCTATCTTTTCTTAAAACCTGCAATGGATTCTAAAAATATATATCCTCACAAGGAAAAAAAATGTTATTTTTGTTACGAAATACACCTTCCAATAATTAAAAAATTATTATTAATATAAAAAATTTAGATACAATGTTTTATATATAGTTTCTACTAGTTTTCAATAAAAAATATGATAACTGTTGAATTTTCTTCTACATATATATACAATTTTTATTTTTTTACTCTTTAAATAATATTAAAATATATTTTGTCATTTTTATTGAAAAATAATAAGCACTATACCTAAAAAGTTATATCTAAATTCTCTTTTAAAATATTATTCAACTGAATTAAGATAATTTCATTTTTTATTTTACTAATTTATTATCACTTAATTTTTTTCTATATAATATTTATTCAATTTCGGTTCTTCTATTTAAAATGATTAAAGTAAAAAGTAAAAAAACAAAATTATTTAAATAAATTATTGATTAGTTATAATGAACTACGTATAATCTACCATATAAGAAAGTGAAAATAATATATAATATAATAAAGTCTTTTTTTCTGGTTGGTCAATTATCTCTTATTTGGGGTAAAATGAGTACTAAAAATATTAACCTAATTAATTCTTTTTCTGTATTGCTATTAATTGTTTCATTTGTTTTCAATCAACCGTTTCATTTCCCAAGCTCAAATGCAATCGCTTGATTTTCCAAATACCACACCATTGTTTCTGATGATTTCAAATGCCACTCCGCGAAAACGTCTTGGTTTCCCATCATTTCTCTCTTTGATATTCCTTTATTTGTTTCACCCTTTTTACCAACCAGAGAATCAGAGAATGATATATGTGATATGGCGTTATTGTTATTCTAGGCCCAACGGCTCTATTATGACAGTGCAATCATGATTATGAGATTTAAAGCAAAAATCCAGGCTCTTGAAGAACAAGTGAGTTCTATAAATGAAAAGAGTTCAAAATATGGATAAATTGTGGCTGAAGAAGTACCAAAAAGCTTATACTGTCTTGGTGTCAGATTGACAACTAAATGGTTCAAAAACCTTAATTTGCAAAAGAAACTAAAGGATAATGGGGTCCTCGAGATGAAGACTAATGATAGAAATTGTTACCACTTTTGTGTGTTCTCTGATAACATTATTGCAACTTCGGTCGTTAGTGTAGGCGTGGTTTGCTGTAAAAATCTCTGTCCACCGGTTCAGTTCTGCCGTTTGTATTTCACCACCAACGTCACTATTTACCTCAAGGTATGTTCAATGTTGTTCATTGTTGAAGATTTAGGGTTTTAGGATTTATATGTTTTGTTGATTTGGGGTTTTGTTACAGTGTTGATTTTTTGAATTGTGTTATTTTACGCTGAAGATGATAAATTTGATTATATTGCAAGAATTGTCGAGTTCTTCGAATCTAAAGATGATAAATATGATTATTATTGATTCAAATATTTTTCTAAATAATATCAAAACATAAATAATATTTAAATACAGGAAAGTATACGGTTGATCAATTTTTTTTAATATTTTTATCTATGAAAAAATTCTATTTATGATCCTAATATAAATAAAAATATGTCTTTCTTTTTAAAATAATAAACTTTCTTGGTTAATAATTTTGTCTTTTATTTTTATTTTTATTATATTTTAAAAATAAATGCGTGTAACACAACAGTACATGTGCGAATGCACGAGTATTCAGACCATAATATGTGCGAACACACGAGTTTCGGCATTTTATTATATTTAAATAAAATAAAATAAAAGTAAATATATTTAATATCATGTATGAATCCAAACACGGAAAAAATAAATTGTTTTTAGTTATTTATGTTATTAATATTTTTAGTTTGAAATTATTTTTAATTTAAGATACATAATTTTTTAAGATAATGTATGAAAATTTAATATATATATATATATATATATATATATATATATATATATATATATATATATATATATATATATATATATATATATATATATATATATATATATATATATATATATATATATATATATATATATATATATATATATATATATATATATATATATATATATATATATATATATATATATATATATATATATATATATATATATATATATATATATATATATATGAAAAGTATGTTTTTATTTTTAAGAAAATAATAAACTCTTGTAGTAAAGAAATTTTGTTTTTGTTTTTTATATTTTTATTACACTTTGAAAATAAAAGCGTGCGTACCACTCCAATATTCGTGTGAACGCACGAATATCCTACTAGTACTAGATAAATACCAGTGTGATGTATGCAGTTTCTTTTATATATCATTCTCTTGTTTTATTTAATAAAATATATAACAAATAATATATCTAAATAATTAAAATATATAATATAAAATTTAATTTATATAATTTGAAATTCTGGTATCAGATATGAGATGTCGAATGAGATGTCACGACACAAATATCTGAGAACAATATAAAATGCAACAATATTAAAAGCAGTAAAAACACAAGGTATTGTTAACCCAGTTCGGTGTACAACAACACCTACTCTGGGGGCTACCAAGCCAGGGACAAGTCCACTAAATAGTAAATTCATAAATCCTCAGTAAACAACCAGTTTACAATCTAATCACTTAATTACTACTCGTGCTATACTTCTACCTAAGACACACCTAGGTATGAGGCCCTCTTCAAATCCCTTCAATCACTAACAGTGAAGAACAACAGAAATATTAAGTTTTAAGGACTTCAATCATTCAATACTTAAAATCTTATGAATGATCCACAATTAACAACTCAAGTATTAAACCAATACTTAGAGTGTATTACAATTAAAAAGACTTAGACTTCTAAAACAGAAAGAATATGCTCTTCTTTTAAAAGTTGCAACTTGGTGAATAAGGATGCAAGTCCTTATAAAGGCGCATTAGTGGGCTTGGGCTGAAAAACAAATATTCCAATTCCTTGAATATTTCCATGAAAACAGACCAAGATATAATTCATAGGGATAATGCAAATATAAAAATATTCCTCCAAAATTTTCGCAAACTATAAGTCACAAATCCTGAATAATGGTGCGCATAAAAATAAGAAACAAATATAAAGTCACGTCAGATCAGGAGGTAGATGTCAAGACATCTGCTTTGACATCATTCAAAACCAATTTGCTTCAAATGTCAAGACATTTAGCAAAACATTATCAAGTTAGTGTTTTACGAAAATTGCTACCAACAAACACTTACAAACTCCCCCTTTGACAAATTTTGACAAAAACATTATTTGAGCACATTATCAGAGCAGCAACAAAAGCAAAAACAAAACTCAGTTAGCAGTTAGAAAATGTAATTAAGTTAGCTATTAGCAGAGGAAGATGTCAGAATATCTTCAGAGACATGAGTCTCCCCCTCAAACATTAAGCTCCCCCTCAGTCAGTGGTCAGTCAGTCAGAGGTCAGTCAGTTTCTCTCCCCCTTTTTAGACATAATATGCCAAATAAGTACAGACCATAGAATCCAAGAGTCAAACACATACAAGTGCCAAAAAGGAACAAAGGGGTCAAAACAAATAAACATCAAATGGTCTAACTGTCTTCAGGACCAGTAGACTTGGCAGAGTCATAACTTCCTTCATCATCAGAATCCCCTCCTTCAGTACCCACTTTATTATCAAAATTATTGTCCTTCTTGGTCATCTTTTCAAAAATTAGCTTTCTTGCTGAGCTAACTCTGATCACATCATCAAGTTCTTTGCAGGATTCCCTTAATTCAATAATCATGTCATCCTTGGTTGAGGTCTTGTTTTCAGAAGATGCATATGTCAAAACAATGTCTGGGACATGTTTTCCTGAAAACAGCTTGAAATGAAGGGTCAGAGCAGACTCCCTCTTGCAAACTACATCATTACCACTCAGAATTCCAAGATGTTGATTAAGAATAATTCCAAAAATAAGAGATGGAAAGGCAATATGCATTTTGATAGCACATTTTCCTGCATGCTTAATAATCTGATAAAAAATGTAAGCACCATAATCAAGTAGTTTCTTATTTCCAACAGCATAGATAAAACTTTCCTAAGACAATTGTAATGGTTAAGGTATGATTGCTAGGAACCCAGTTAGCAGCTTCAATTCTATGCAAGATAGCATATTTCACACTTAGCTTGCTAACAGGAAGCTTATTCTTCATGGGCCACTCACTCACTTGGTTTGCAGTGATGGCTTTGCACACTTGATTATCAGTTACTTCCAGCTCACAATAATCATCTTCAGACCTATCCAGAAATCTATTGATGACAACAGGGGAAAATTCTACACACCTACCTCTAGCAAACACCTTCCTATACTCCTTACTTTTATGATCAGCACAATCAATAGGAATATTAACAATAAATTCTTTAACAAGAGTCTCATAACATTTTGAAAACCTGGTGACAATCTTCATCAATCCATCAGAACAAATCAACTCCATAATCTTTTTGCACTCCAGTGCACTAGCTCCCAACTCTCTTTCAAGGGCAATTCTTCTTTGAAATACATATTTCCACTTTTCAGCATTTCCAATAGAATGGAAGGAAATGTTGTCAAGAGGAGCATTAGGCACCCTAACAGAAAGCTTCTTGCTTGAAAATTTCTTCACATGAGAGATGTCCTGGATATCTTCCTCGACATCATAATCAGAGTCAGCTT